GCAAGTTCAAAAAGATTGAGAACCACTGTTGTAGAGCATGTTGATTTTAATACCCGTCCTATACTACAGAGGAAGGCAACCCTTGCACCATACAGATGAACAAACTATGCCAACCTAAGCTAAAGGACATGTCCTGGCATAGCTGCTCTGTTTCATTTGGTGATGTCTGTTTATACCTTTAAATAGGCTTAGGGGTTTCATTGCTGTTACTTTGTAAAAGGGAAATAGAATTTAGTAAATGTTAAATAAGTCACAGGAAAGGAAATTATCTCTCAGTCTTATTTTTCAGATTTCAGTAACTACAAGTCAATTGTGGGTGAATTTAGAGTATTTCTTATCTCTGGTTTGGTGTTTGCAGTGTAAAACTAGACTTTTATTTCACTTTTAAATAGATTTTAATAAAAACTATTTCTCAAGTCTTTTTGTAGAGTTTACTTATTTGTTTTGTTGTTGTTTTTGTTTTTTACAGGACAGTATTAATTGTAGCTTTAGACCTTTATTTGGAAAGAGCCTAATTAGCACATTCATTAAGGTGAGTGTCTTATGCTTTTCCCCCCAAAATGATCTGGAATATGTGCGCTCTTTTTTTGTTTACTCCATTTATATATTTACTTCTTTCTTTTGCGTTAGATAATACCTTAGAGCAATGGTGCATCTCCGTACATTTAAACCTTTTTATAGACTGATACTAAAGAACATGGTGAATAAAGTTAAAATTGGGCATGTGGCAGTGAGCTGTTTTCTCCCACTAGAAAGTGGAAACCCTCCATTGTTGCACTGAATACCAAATCCTAGATTTGTGGGTGTGATTTTGCTCTTCAGTTAGAAGGCTTTCCATTACTTTCAATATTCTGGATTCCTCTTAGAATGAAAGAATTGTGGTGAAGACTCATTTTGGGACCAGAGAATGTACGGGCCTATCTGAAATGGTCTGTGGGTTTTGGCTCAAAGAATGAAATGGAAACAATTCTTCTGTCAACTTGATTGACACACCCAGAATGCACTTATATTCTGAAATCTGCTTGGTCAGCCTACACACCCCAATATTAGTTTGGATGTGGTTTTTCTTCAAATGTCCAAGTAGACTTAGTTTTTATTCCTTCTGTAAGGACTGTCTTGTACTTCTGAAGAGGAGAGTTGCCTTTCTAAATTAGTTCAATAAAAGTCTTACATATGAAGATATAGACAAGCAGATTCAAGAAATAAGCTAAAGTTGCTGAAATGGGGGGAGGGGGGAGAACACTACGGGCAAGGTTGTGAAGACTCTTGAAGGTAAGGAGAGGCTTGAAATTGAGGCAGTGAAAAAAATCATAGCCAATGCAGAGTTTAAACGAAGTGTAGGTGCAACTTTTGTGACGGGCTAGCTGGCAGTGACTTAGCCCAGGGGTTTTGAAAGGGCAAAAGATGATTGAAGGACTTGGGATTCCCTTTCCTCACCAGTCAGGCCTCAGACTCACCCTCCATGTCCTCTGATTGGCCCCTTGGGTCACCTGGAGGTGGAGAGGGATAAAAGGGGCAGCTCGGCTGACTCAAAAAAGACCAGCGAGGGCCCACAAGGAAGGAGATTCAAATAGCTGGCAAGAGCTGAGGCAGCGGGGCGGGAGCAGTTGCCCCAGAAGAGCCTGAAGGAGTGGGACCTGCTGGCAGCAGTTGGACCCTCAGCAGTGCTGTGTGCGGCCAGCAGGAGAGGCTCCCTGCTGTACTTGAAGGTGTAGCTTGGCAATGCCTCTTCAATCTCAAATAAGTCTGACATAACTTTACTGTTCAAGTCAACTAAATTAAAAAAAAAAAATTCTAACACTGAACATTTTTATGAAGGTAAAAAATGTACTTAAATTTTTCCCAGACATCTTAGCCGGGGGAAGCCTGTATTAAACTTTCCAACTGCAGCCTAGGAAGGACTCTGAAACAGTCCATTTTCCAATATGGATCTCATTTTTAGTTGAGTTTAAATGAAAATGCCATGGCTGATGGCACACTGTTAAACTAGATGAAAAATATATCACTTCATGGAGAAAAGGCAAGTCATTTTCAAAGACCTCACTTAGTCAAAATAAAAAACCTTTTCAACTAAAAGAATTAGCATAGTGTTTACAGAGAAATGGTAAAAAACGGATGCTGCTAGCAACAAGGTGGCAGAGATAGATGCTGCTAGCCATATTCGACTTGGATTTGGCCCGAATCATTGTCCATGATTCTATTTGTTAATGCGGATCACTGTCCCTGATTCGATTCAGCAGAATCTGAAAATTCAATGCTGATTCAGAGAATTGGTGATTTGGCCATAGACACAGCTTTAAATGTGTTTTGTACTTACCTCAAGGTACCAGGCAGCTCGTGAATGTTGCGATGCTGGGGCAGATGGAGCATCCCACAGGAGTGCAGGGGAGCCTCCGCATGCTCGGCAGTGACTGCAGAAGTGGATGGGAAGTATTTCCAGTCCACTTCTGGGTCTGCTGGGGAGTGCACAGGAGGCCCCCCCCCCACGCTCCCCCAGCTCAGTGATTGGGGATGGGGTGCCCCCCCAGACTCAGGAGGCACCAGTTGTCCAGTCAAGGAGGATGCAGGGGGGGTCCCTGCATGCTCCCCAGCAGACCTGGAAGTGGACCGGAAGTGCTTCTGGTCCACTTCTGGGTCTGCTGCTGAGCACGCTGGAGACCTCCCTGCACTCCTGTGGACACTCTATTCTCCCCACCATCGCAGCATTGACAAACCGCCTGGTACCTTGAGGTATGTAGAAAAACATTTAAAGCTGTGTCTATGTCTGAATCACTGAATCTCTCCGAATCGTCTCGGAGGGTTCCTATTTGATTTGTAGAGGTTAAAGGGTTTCCTGTTTCTATTCGGTTACTGAATCGGGCCCAATCAAATTGGGGTCTGAAGCTTCACACAGCCCTACTATATATAAAGATCATGCTAAGTTTTGTGGCCAGAGCATGCATTTGGGAAATACAGAAAAGGGAGGTCAAGAATATAAGGAATTAATCTGTCCACAAGACTACATCCTATAGTTTGTGTACCTCTAACAGAAGAAATTCAGTATTACCCTTTCTGGTCTAGTCATTAATGCTGTAACTGAATTTCCTGCCTTGCCCTTCTGAAAGCTGCATTAACTAGTATTGCATGTTGTGGAGTGGAACGCTGTGAATAAATCCGTCCTTCCCAGTCGAGCCAATGTAATGGGGTTTCCTTTAAGAGCCAGCCGTAAAGATACCGCAGCTTAAGCTTGCTAACATAAACTGTTTCCTAGTTTCGTTATCTTGTGTGTCAAATAGTACTTGTAACTTTCTTTTTTCAGCCATTAGTCCTTGATACTCAAAACGAGTTTGCTTTTTCACTACTGAAAGTATTTTGAAAATGACGTAGCTGTCTGTCACCTAAGGAAACACAACATGTTCTAACTATTATGTTCTCATGCTATCAGTGTGTGCCAGATAACTAATAGTTTTCCAACATAGCTACAGTGCCTTGGGTTTAATAGGAAATTAGTCTGAAATTTGGTCTTTAACTTCTTACTTTTCCCAGAAGATGGTGAATAGTGTATATATGCATGGTGTTTTTTCTTCCTCCTAAAAGTATGTAACAATACAGGACTTAAAGGCATTTACCAGTCTTGAGTAAAAAAAACAAACAAACCCTTAAACTACTAGTTTCTGTAGAATTCAACCTTTCATTAAAAAAAGAAAAGAAAAGATTATCCTGCAGGGTTACATGAAACAGGATTAAATGAAAATGCCATTATTCAAAATGAACTGATTTTAAAAAGGCAGTGTTGCTTTTTTGGAGTTGACAGGCATGTTGATGATTCGCTGCACAGTAAAATTTCTTTTGTCACTTTTATCTGCTGTCAAGGAGAACCCCTGTGGCCAGTGATTAAAGCCAATTTGGGTTGCACCGATTTCACTTTGCTGCAGAGCATGGAGGATTTGGAGAGGGAAGAAGGAATGTCCAAATCCATTCCAGTATTCCTTGTTTGGGAAAGACATAGGTTTGAAATTGGAATCATGTGCCATGATTCATGGCACCTGAAATATTGCAGGGCAGCCTGCTGGTAGAATCTGTGTCCTCTGCTTGACTTTTTTCAGAAGCCGTTTTGGCACATGAAGGACAGATTCTTACCAAGACAGGGTTGCTGGGCTGTGCTGCTGCTGTTTTTTCAATTGTCTAATACATTTTTTTAAGTCCCACACTGAGCCTAATGGTATTGGTGATGAGACATTGAAAATTTTTAGGCTAAACCTGGATTGCCAAGCAAGTCACCTAACTCTTCAAAGATGCTGAATACCCATAGCTCTTAATGACTCAAATGAGTAATTTGCTTCACTGGTAACTGCAGATTTTGGCCTTTTTTAATTTGAAAGAAGTGATATCTTACTTCAAGTCTGTATAGGCTGAAAAATTCTGGTTCATCAGCAGCATGGTAAGATTAATGTCTTGTCATTTGCAGCAGTTTTTACATATCAAAACTTGAAGGAGTTTTACTGAAATTCAAGTGTATTGGAAAATACCTCTGTAATATCTGTGTGCTTATTTTGATGGATGATAACAATAGGCTATCTGAATAGGGTTGGCATAACTGTGGGGAATCGTTTTTATATCTTATGTTCTTCAAAGGTATTTAAATAGGACACTGTTGGGGGGCCCAGGTATTTCTTTTATATTTTATAGTTTTAGAGTTGTCTGGACTCGGTAATGGACGAGAATTACCAGTAGAAGAGGAGGAGACAGTTTAAATGCATGTGGGAGATTCCGGACCTAGGTACTACATGCTTTTTGATGCTAGCTGGGAGGGAACTTGATATACACTTATGCCAACCTTTCTTAGAAAAAGCAGGTAAGGAATGCATGTAATTGTTCCGATTTGTGCGAGTAGAAAGTTTACGTTTTTAATGGTGTTTTATTTCCAATAACATGGGTATCTAACACGGTTTTGGGATTTGCATATGAGATGAGAGAATTAATTTTTCCTGTTGCCTTTGGGGGAGGAAAATGAGAGAGAATATCTTAATTCTTAAATCCAGTCTTTTTCTCTCTCTCTTGTAGTGTGTAGCATCTGCTTTGTTGGTTTGTTTATGCCTAAGGATTTTTCTTTTATGTATAATTCTAGTGTTAATTTTTCTAACTAAAATTATGCCAACAGTAACTTGCAAGAAGGTGGGATGTAAACAAAAAATTGTAAAGATTCCTTGTTTGTTTTATTTTAAAACTAAACAAAAAAAAATCTTTACAATAAAGTCTTGCTCCATATTGAGGTGTGAGAGCACAAGTATCTTGTTAATTTTTTAGTTGTCAAAGAATGTCACAATAGAAATAGGGTATTAATTCTGCTTTTTTTCCTTGGCTCACAATTTATAAGCCCTGACTGTTTCTGTCATTAGTTTTTTCTGGAGGGACAGGCCACTTGTCCATTTGCATTAAGCTCCTTCTCATTTTCTATGGGTTTTTTTAATTGTTCCTCACTTGCCAGGTATGAGGAATTTTTTTGTATTGCCTGGTTGCCCAGACAGTATGTGTTCAATATACATTTTAATCTCTAACTCTTTGTTTAAAATACGATGGAGTATCTAAATCATTCCTAGTTGTTTGCCGTATAACAATTGGAAGATGATTTCCAAAGTGTCCCGGGAGTCAAAATAACGAGTGGCACTTACCAGCAGCTCGGGACGGGACGCACATGGGGCGGAAGGAGGAACCCCCGCAGCTCGTTAGCCGCCTTTTTGTTCAATTACGGCTGGCCGATGACATCAGCATCCGATGCTGGCCGGCAGAAATAAAAATGGTGGCCGCTGCTGCAGAGGGGGCGGATAGCCGGGGAATGAAGCCGTGGCTGATGCTGGCAGTGGGGAAGAAGACCCCACTTGCTGGACCCGGGGAGCCTGGCAAGCGGGAGCAGATGCAGGCGGCGGAGGGTGGAGAACCCCGATGGGAGCCCACGCAGGACAATGAGGGAGCGACAGGTTTGCTGGCCAGAGGCGGAGCTGAAGCGGCACCTGAAAGCAGAGTGGAACACAGGTGGAAGTACCGGGATGACAAGGCACGGAAAAGGCACGATGGGGGGAGAAGACCCCGGGAGAGCCCTAAAGGGGTTTTTGGTCGGGGCGGGTATCGCTGCCGGGTTCCACCGGATTGAGGAACAGACGGGAGTAGGTCCTGGAGGCGACGGATCAAGAAGAAAAGCATCTTCTCCCTGTTAGGCTCTGGGGGAAAGGATAGAAAGGGGCAGGGAATAGCTTAGTAGTTGGTTTTGGTTAACATGTTTATTTTTGTTACCCCGGATGAAGGGGCACAGGGGATAGGGATGAGTGCCTGAGGGGCGGGGCTGTGGAGAAGCCTCAGTAGGGTTCACCCTTTTGGTTGTATGTACCTTTGAAGGAAGGGATGGAGGCATGAAGGGCTGTGGGGTAGGCCCACACGGGCGAGCGGGGCCTTAATCCGCTGGCATCTAAACGCAAAGGCGGAGAGGGTTATCCCCGCAAAAAGAGGCCGAGGCCAACGGCTGGGCGGCACACTGAGGCTGGGGTGTAGGTGTGGTAGAACCCTGTAAGTGACCGCCGGGTGAACCCCGGGCCACCGAGTATCCTGTCAGCCGACCCCTCCTACTGAGGAACAGCAAGTTGTGGCAGGTGAGAATGGGGTTGGGGACGCAGGAAGAAGAGAGCTACTCTGGCAACAAAACGAACCCAGGAGGTGCTTGACATCCACCAGTAGAGCAAAGGCCACTCGAGAGCGGTTAATTGAAGCCCGGCAGTCACACAAAGTTTCCAAAGCAGCCCTCCAAAAAGAAGACTTTTGGAAATCTTACCCATCAGTAAAAATTACATCTGACTGCATATTCCACTATTACAAATATCTTACCAGTACTAATGTATGTTTGGTATGCACTGTTTGGTATTACAGGACTCTGTTTGTTTAAAAAACCAAAAACTGTCAAGCTATTAGTTTCATAGTTTCTAGGATCAAAAGGGACCTGGACAGATCATCAAGTCTGACCCCCTGCCCTGGGCAGGAACAAGTGCTAGGATCATAATACTCCAGCCAGATATCTATCCAACCTCCTTCTGAAGACCCCCAAGGTAGGGGAGAGCACCACCACGCTTGGGAGCCCATTCCAGAGCCTGGCAGCCCTAATTGTAAAGTAATGCCTCCTGATATCAAGCCTGAACCTACTCTCAATCAATTTGTGGCCATCATTCCTTGTTATCCCAGGTGGTGCCAAGGGGAACAGAGCCTCACCTATTTTCTGCTGGTCCCCCCTGGTGAGTTTATAGACAGCCACCAGATCCCCCCTCAGTCTTCTCTTGTGGAGGCTGAATAGATTCAGGCCCTCTAGTTTATCTTCATAGGGCCTGGCCTGCTGTCCCCTGATCATGCGAGGTAGCCCTCCTCTGGACCCTCTCAAGGTTAGCCACATCCCTCTTGAAGTGCAGCCCCCAGAACTGGATGCAGTACTCCAGCTGTGGCCTGACCAGCACTGCATAGAGGGGAAGGATCACCTCCCTGGACCTGCTTGTGATGTAGTAGAAAATTATGTAGAATTTCAGATTTCCATATCCTAGAAAGAGCTGGTAATTCTAACTGAGATGCATTATTAGTGCTTCTGTCTTTTGAGGAGATTAATTTTTTTTGTTTTGTTTTGGTTGTTGGGTTTTTTGTTGTTTTTCAGGGTTTTTTCTCCTCTCTTGGTATGTAAGAGCCATTAATTTGCATAATAGTTTTGCAGTAGATGTAAATATAGGGGCACCCAAAATATTTTCAAGAAAGCAACTATGCTGAGGCAATATCCTCTTCCCCACCATATGAAATGTCAATGGCTTCCAGTTATTGTAAAGAAGGTAAGACACATATGCAAGTGGAAGTACAATACTTACTTAGTACAGCTGATGAGAGAGGACATCAGGATAATCATTTGTTAGAACCAGACCATAGTTATTTGATCACTGTTTTCTATGAGTGAAATGCACAATGTATGCTCCTTCCTTGGAGCATAAGGATAATATTTCAAGGTGTGCCTGTCATTTTTCCAACCACTATTTTTGGCTTCCTTCTCTACTGAGATTGTTCCTATTTGTAATACTTTGTATAGCTTTATGATTGCTTAAGCATTGTTATACCTCTTCCTTGTAGAAGTGACAAATGAAAGCAAGTAGGACTGAGCAGTTGTAATGTAGATGGGTAGTAATTACTAATAAGTTTTGTTAAATGGATATTACAGTAGCTTCTAGAGGCCCCAGTCATTTGTTTGGTGCTGAAAAAGATATAAAGTAACTCTTCCCAGTGTTGGCAGAGTACAATATAATAACTTATTTTACTATCTGCATATGGGACTATAACAATTCCCGTCTAAAGTAAGATATTTGTGAGAATATGGAGAGACGAGACAGCAGAGTAACTAGGAGTATGGCTGAGCAGGGCTCAGTAGTCCATGTGCAGGGAGTGTTTGACATGGGCACTTCTCCCCCCTACCTGGGGCACTACATTTCCTAGTTATGTCTCTAATTTAGTATTCTTTACTTGCTTTCTGCTCGTTTTAAAATAGGCAGATGAAGAATCGTAGCGACTAGGTTGAAAACTTCAATTGAGTAAAATGTGGGTGCACCTCCACCAGATGATTAATGACAAATTGGCATAGCTTATTGTGAAGTAAGCATGTGGGACTACACATCCACATGTTTACTTCACAGTAAATCTCCCGAATTCTGAGAGGCATCAGTAATGGTGCCATAGCATTTGTGTAGACATCCAGCCGGGATCCAAATCTGTTCTCAGTTAGCTGTCCATGAAGGAGCGGGAGATAGGCAGCTCCCATGGGTAGCGAGCTGCTGCTGGGGTAGCAGGACATTGTCACTGCCCCAACATCAGGAAGCCCCCCTGGTCCAGTGCTCCCTGCCAACCTCTGTGCTAGCACCCAGGGGGAGCCTGGAGCTGCTCGTGGTGGCCACTGGGGTGCACTGGAGGGCTGCAGAGAACTGGAAGCAAATCTTCTCCCTAATCCTAGCATGTGTAGACACTACGGGTATGTGAAGTGGGCCATATTCGATTCGGATTCATTGATTCAGATCACTGTCCCAATTCGATTCTGCTGAATCCAAATCTGAAGATTCAATTCTGATTCAGAATCAGCAGTTCAGTCAGATAGAGCTTTTAAATGTTTTTTTCTGTGTACCTCAAGGTACCAGACATGGCTTGTGAACGCTGCAATGGTGGATGGAGTATCCCACAGGAGTGGGGGGTGCCCCCCCGCGTGCTCAGCAGCGGACCCGGAAGTGGACCGGAAGTGCTTCTAGTGTACTTCCAGGTCCGCTGCCAAGTGTGCTGGGGACCCTCCCCTCTTCTCCCCCCCCATGCTTCTGTGGGATGCTCCATTCACCCCACCATCTCAGCATTCATGAGCCGCCTGGTACCTTGAGGTATGTAGAAGAAACATATAAAGCTGCGTCTATGTCCAAATGATTGAATCTCCCTAAATTGAATGGGAGGGTTCCAATTCGATTCCATGAGATTAAAGGTTCTCCCAATTTGATTCGGATCCAGATATTCAGCCGCTGAATTGGGCTGACACAGTGACCAAAGCTTCACACAGCCCTAGTACACACCTATCCAAAAACCCTTACTGTGCAGGAGCTTACTGCACAGTAAATCTAGGCTGGAGTAAATGCATGTGTTAGACATGTCCAGTATGCTTCTAAACATACATGGGTCACAGTTGTCAAAAATAGTTTGATTTCGGAGTGTTAATGTTTGGGATGGGCTACTTGATGCATCTTTTAAAGGAGTCTGGATTTCTGATATCAGAAAGTTGGGCCCTTTTTAAGGTTTGTTAATTTGGATAGCTAC